ATGTGGAAACACGGCAGGATCGTATGGGACATGGTATAGCGGTGGGCAAAGGCTGAGTAATTGTGTGGGATGCGGAGCATATTTGTTATTTAACTCCGGGCGGACGCAAAACCATTCCAATAGCATAAAAATGTATAGAGCGTAGTGGAAAATCCAAGCTTTGTACTTCACCCCTCAGCGTACCAGAATTATCGTCTCAGCGACCCTCGGAGTCCCTTCGCGTCGGACTTAGCGTCTACAAAACAACCCTAGCTTTGCCAATAGGCCGGACTCGTCGAAACTAGATAACTCCGCCAGCGCATATCGATCCAAGTAAGCTCCGGATTTAAAGTATAAAATTCACCAAGCGTCTGTAGGCAAGAGACTATTGTGTGGGTTCAGTGGAACTCCCCACCCGGGCTACTGGCGAACTTCGGAGATAAATACTCCGGAGAATCGCTATACTGTTTGTTTCAGGCCTCAAGATTTTGTTTGTTTTAGGTTTTCCTACGGGCTACCCTACGGCGTCTAACTTCTCCCCCTCCCTTCGAACTTAAATATTACCCTTCAATCGCCTTAGACCGCCTACACCCATACCGCTGGGTGTTTTAGGTTTTATTTCTTTTGGTCTTTGGTGTTGTCGTGTGTTAGTGCCTATCAACGGTCAATGGAAGAGCAGTGATCCAGCACGCCGGGGAAAGGCTATCAAACGAACCTGTCATCATGAGACTTAGCGGCACAAAAGACAAGTTGAACATACCCGGAGAAGTCGCCCACGACGCGCCGAGTGTGGGTCCAACCCTGGGAGTACAGACGAGTCAGCACCCGAATCGGATGCATGACCATAGAGCTGGAAATACTCCTTGTCCGAAGGAGGGAATGAGAAGGATATAGGTGACGGCGGGCGGAGAGTCAACGGGGGGAGAAAAGTGAACAAAAGGAACGGAACGCGAATGTTGAACATGGCAAATTAAATCGGAGTTCAAAACATGGTATCAACAAAGTCATGTGACCGGCTACAGGTAACCGGATAACCGGACTCTGGGGAGACAGTGCTAAGTCCGTCCGAGTCTTCCTGGAGCTCAGCTGGTAACCGTTCCGGTCCGTTCGCAGGTGTCTGTCGGCTCCCTGTTACTTGGCTGATATCAAGCAGGTGAAGACTCGCTGATACAAAGAACAACCGCATCTCAGTGAACCCGAAGACTATGCTTGCATGAATGGCACGGGTCACCTCCTTATCCTGGCATGGGTACGGGTCGTGTTTCGCCGTACCTGTGACCTGATGGGTATCGAGGATGCGTTGTTTAACGTGCCCTCAAAACCGAAACCTGCAGGTACCCGCGTACCCACACCATCAATGTGGGTTCGCACGGGTTCGATATGCGTCGTGGCACCTGTGGGTTTCCTCCTTTCATTCCTTACTATTAGTAGCTCGAACACCGAAACTGTGCGGTGGGATGGATGCTATGCAGGGTACGTGACTATTCATCAAATTACTTCATATACTTGCCCTGCAGCAATGACTGCAGAGATCGCGCACGGAGGCAGTCTCAAGGAACTGCCCAAACATATTAATGCAAGACCATGTCCTAGAGTTGCTAACAACTGTATATTACTTTTTTGAAACTGGGTCATGTAGATTAGCTGTTGGTCATTCTGGATTATGCAGCCATAACAAAGATTTTTGTCATCATGCATAATTTTGTCTAAATTATGTCTAATTAGCTTGGGAGGGTTTTCCTGATGGCGCTCACAGCTGACTTGCTTGGCTTCCCTGAAGCTGAATAAGCTCCTGATCTCTGACACGAAGGCCCTGCAATACATGCTTAACACAGCACCGTACGATTTTTTCCGAAGTCGGCCTGGTTTGGGGCTTTCCTGAAAGCGTTCAGCGGACCTGACTTGCTGTGCTCAGAAGGTTCGTCCGTGCACCCTCTTCTGCCTCTGAGGGAGATGTCGGATCCGATTGGGATGTAAAGTGAAACCCACAAGAGGCAAAGAAAGATCATGAATCCTGTCTTCACCGTGGGTGAGGTAAAGCAACATTGTCCAAAATTCCAAGCCCATGCGGACAAGGTAACACATTTCCAATTTGTAGATAATGCAGGCAGGGCTAATAACATGGTACTCTTGCAGCTGGTAGCTAAATGGATGAAGGCACTTGACTGTGCAGGCCACGAGGAGTCCGTCGTTCTCAATATCCATCATGAAATGAGCATTGTCACTCTGTATGGTGTTGCCGAAGGTATGTGATCCACGTGGGTGTCGTTCTTCAGTATTGACGGAAATATGGCAGGTGCTTTTGGCTTCCATGGAATGGATGAATATCCAGAGCTCATTGACATATACATTTGTTTTATGAGTCCTGAGTTTACGAAGGATGAGTCCTTACCCGCAAAATTGGGTACGTGCCGAATGTTGTACCCCGTGGGAATCGCAATGCCGAGAATGCATGCGACCTTTTGGTTGTAGTCTTGGCTACACTGTTTAATGTCCGCTTTAAAGTCTGCTTGTATTGGAGACTACAAAAAGACTACAAAATCGGATTTGTAGTCTCTGTTTTCAATAATACTGTGTTTTTGTCCTGGGTTTTCGGTGCATTTCCGTGGTTTCTTCTATGAAGAGGTTTTTTTGGGTCATCCATCCACTGGAATATTTTGAGCATTTTATCGTACCTCTGTCTTTTACTGCATGCTCGTTGTCATCTGTGGCATGTTCTTACCGTGGGAATTGACTTTTGTGGCGGTTTGTAGTTGGTGGCTGAGGCATATCGCCGCGCCGGTTGGGATTCGATGGCTGTGATTGGCTGCTGTCTACTTATGACGCAACCTGAGTGTGTGTAATCAGAATAGCGGTCGTGCTATGTCATTGTTGGGCGTCAGGTGTTACCTTTGTGCTTTGCTATGTTAGACTTATTGTTCGGTGCTTTGTGTGTTGGATGCATATTTATGTGTATTTGTTTTGTTTTGTTTTTTTGGTGTGTTGTACTGTTTTGTTTCAGCAAGTATCGTGATTGCTTGTTATTTCGATGATTAGATTATTTGTTACCATGTGAATTTTGTATTTTGGTGGTTGATCTTCGCACGCTATGTGTCTGTGCAGTAGGGATTACGATTAATTGATTGTGATTGGCTGTGATTACTTGGTCCTTTGCTTTGTAGCGCCTTTACTGATTGTTTGGCTGTTTTACCGCTCTTGGTTGTGTACTCCCCATCATGTCTTTATCTGCTGAAGTCCGGATTCCAAAGCTTGATTTTTCCACTGGTCGTCCTGACATTTCCGGGCAATCTCATTCTGTGGCGGTAGTTATGAAAGAGCTGCCCGATGTTGTCCATCCCCAGGGTCATCCTGCTTATTTCCGGTTGTTCAAGGCTCCCTTCTTGCCCACTGACCCTCATGCCTTTATGGTGGATACACTGGATGTTGGGGATCTTTGGTTGTGTACTCAACCTACCTCCAAATCTATCTGGTATTGAGGGACCACTCAGATTTGGGTCCAGTGGGATTGTACAGATGTACACTTTCCATTTTGATCTTCAACTTCAAAAATACAACCTTGTGTTGTCTGGAGCCATGGAATGTACTCATCAAGGTCTTTCCTGGGTTTCATGAGTCCTTACCTGCAAAATTGGGGTGTGCCGAACGTTGTACCAGTGGGAATCACTGTTGCCGAGAATGCGTGCAACTTTTGTGCTGTAGTCTTGAATACAGCATTCAATGTCCACTTTAACGTCCGCTTGTATTGAAGACTACAAAAAGACTACAAAATCGGATTTGTACTGTCTATTTGCAATCATAGTGTGTTTTCATCTTGGGTTGCTCATGTATTTCCGTGGGTTCTTCTACGAAGAGGTGGTTTTGGGTTATCCATCTACTGGAATATTTTGAGCATTTAATCGTATCTCCTTCCTTTACTGCATGCACTTTATCATGTGTGGCATGTTGTTACCGTGGGAATTGACTTCTGTGGCTGTGTGTAGTCGGTGGCTGAGGTGCCGCGCCGGTTGGGATCTCTGGCTTCTCATTGGCTCCTGCTTACTATGACATAGCTTGACTGCAGAAAGCGCATTTCTGTAGTTGAGTGATGTCATAGTTGCCCACTTGCTCATTAGTCTAGGACGTGCAGCAGTTGAAGCATGCCAACTTGGTGGGATGTGCTTCCTGTTAATCCAATCATTACTGGTACATCCACATTGATCTTAGGTTGGTTATAAGAGGTTCTTGAATGTTGCACTTGTGTTCTGAAATAATACACTGACTGCTGAATAGTTTGATGGATTGTTACTGCAGGAATTAGTCTCAACATTGATTGTTTTTCACACACATAGTCTGAGTCGACATGTGGGTGGCAGAGACTATGATACAAGTCTCTTTGGTCACAGGCATCTTGGGCCTGTGTTTTTCAATCTCTGCTGCCTCTGGAACCCTGATTTCCTCTGCTCAGTGGTCTCTATATGTCCCCTTGAGAAACTGAAACTAGTACATGTGTAATATGTATTTTGTTTCTGCTCCCAGCTGCTTGGGGTACTCTTTGAGTATCCTTTCCAATGACTGTCCTTCAGCTTGGTTCAGGAAAAATGAGTGTGAGGGAGCTGCCAATTCGATTGGCAGTGGATGAGCACTCTGGTTCTGGTTGGATGTTACCTGGAGTCTGCAGGTATTATTGACTGTCTCTTCCACTGGGGACAAATGACCTGTGTGACAGAGCTGCCCATCTTTGATTGGCAGCAGAGGAGCACTTTGATCTATGTTACTTGTGTCTAGTAGTGCAGCTGCTACTATCCCCTGGGCTGGGCACAAATACAATTTTGGAGCCACCAATACAGACCAACTTTGAATCTGTCAGAGTGGCAGGGACTTTGATGGTATAACGATGGCAGGGCCACAGGAGGACAAAGTATGAATGAAGGGGACATTGGACATACAGATCTAAGGGCTTTTGATATGTGCATAAGAAAGAGTACTGTATACATCAATTGGAACATTAACACACCGAATGCTATCACTTATCAGACACAACTCAGGACTCGTGTCCTGCCATGCATAGCAATGGCCCTCTACTGACAGGTCAAGTGTGTTATGGGCTTGGGAGACAGTCATAACTGGGGCTTACACGGGTCATCATAGTTGCAAAGTGCAGCCTCCACACTATGCCTTGCTCGAACCTGTTGTCGACTACTTTCCCGTGTCACTCATCCCCTTATTCCGAATAGTGCCTACAAAACAAGGGGCATTCCTGAGGAAGCACAAGATGCTCTCCTACCACGTAGCGAGGGAGCTGGTAAAAAAGAAGTCCCATGAGCTACTTGAGAGGAAAGCAAGTCGGGATATTCTCATTTTACTTGGTACATCGATTCTGCTTAGTCAAATAACCTGTTGAACATCTTGACCACAGTCAAGGCCAATGCATCGGAGGACAGTCGCTGTCGGATGACTGAAGATGAGTTGTATGCGCAAATGAGGTATGTTGCGGGATATTGAGTCTCCCATGGGCTTTATGGATCTTCGCAGTGTAATATTCCTCGCCGGGCACGACACGACCACCAGCACCTTGATGTGGGCCCTGTGGGAGCTAGCAAATCACCTCGATACTTAGGCCCGACTGCGAGCGGAAATTAGGGCAACCCAAGCAATGACTTGTGCGGAAGGTCGGGCCGAGCTCAGCTTGTCTGACATGGAAAACATGCCCTACCTGCAGGCTGTCTTAAAGGTAAGAATGAGATTGCTGTTGTAGGAAGGAGATCCCGATATATTGTTGATGAAGGAGGCACTGCGGCTGCATCCTATCGAGTTCCAGGCTTCTCATGTTGCGGAGAAGGACACTATCCTGCCTTTGGGCGAACCAATAATGTCAGTCTCGGGTAAGGAGATTAAAGAACTGCATGTCCCAAAAGGCACGGAGGTGATGTTCGCAACGGGCTGTTATAACCGGTAGGTATATATACTTGTTCTCCCGCAAAACTTACAATTACTTGGGGGGAGTGGGCCAATGCTGTGCATGGCTGGTTACGAGTCCTGAGCTGGGCATAAGATACTCCCTATTTTACACTGTATATCATAGAGCTGACACAGATATTCCTATCTTTCTTGAAGTATCATCTGAATTCCACTAGACCTCTCAGGATCATCTTGTATATTCCTTGATTTGCTATAGAGCTCTGAATATATTATGGATTTCCCGCATTTTTCACAATTTTTCTGGCCCTTCTACAGCCTGCAATCAATTCCAGATACCAATGATTTAATGGCTCTGCAGATTGGGTGAACCTGCAGAGAGCCTATGTCATAGAAGGCAGGAGCCAATCAGAGTCCAGGAATCCAAGCCGACGCGGCCCGCACCTCAGCCACTGACTACAAGCCACTACAATAGTCAATTCCCACGATAAGCAATAAAAGTAAAACCGCCATGCGGACTAGGACAAGACACACAATCGATAAATTCACCAAAATATTGTTGTAGACC